CGCATAGATTTGATTGAGGTTATTAGAATAGGTTAGGAAGACAGTTTAAGTGTCTCGGTAGTATTCTGTTAACATTTTCAGAATACATGTATAAATGTGTGTATTTAAACTGTTGTTATTATGAAATAATGCTAATACTAATAAAAGCAGTTCATAGATTACACCACTTGAATCCGCATTTTATCTGATAATAAGTCAGAAATAACTGTAACTTTACTTGCATCACAATTACTAGAAACAATTCGTCAGATGATGGCTTAATGTACTCAAACTAGTAGAGTTTATTGGTTGATCCAATTAACAATGACTCAGACAAATGTATATGGAATCAATAAATTTTACCGCAGTTCCGAACTCGTCTGTTAAACTTGATTTGATGGATGAGTGTTCAAGACAACTATTTAGATGTGATTTAGGTATGTAATAATGAAATCTTTCTGGAATATTATGGCGTGGCAAACTATCAAACACTGACATCTATATTTTTATAGTGTGAATATGAGCAGAGACCATTTACATATGACTAAACTAATTGAATTTTAGAGATACATTTTTGTCCGTATTATGACCTTGTCTTTTTGCGCCTAGATACGCAAAAATGAAATGTTTTGTACCAAGTTTCACACTTTTAATTTGTTTAAAGGAAGAATTTTTACAGGAACCCATGAATATATCTTATACGGAATAACTATGAGATCCTGCTTTTCTTGCGATTTATTCTGCTCTGATGTGGATAAGTAATGAACGTATAATTTCCCTAAGTACATGATTTTCAGACTCTTTATTCATCTCAATTACTTCGATGAGTTGTTTTTGAAAGATAGTAGCCCAGTCAAACCATGACTTCGTCGTTCTTAACACGGACAATAAGATTTGAATACCTGTTACAAGTACTACAATACGACTCAACACATTATCATAGAATTCCAAATTTCTGTACAATCCATTTTACGATAATGGCATATATATATATATATATATATATATATATATATATATATATATATATAACTGAAGGTTAATATCGTGGTTTGACCTTTGGGTTCACATACGGAATGGATTGGCTGAATACCATTAAAATATTCACTTGTATACAAAATGTACGAACTAAATCAAGGTTGAATTAATCGATTAGTAGCGGTTTGATTCTTGAAGTTATTTAAAATGTAAGTCTGGTTGGACATTAATCCAAATCACAAAAATAAACGTAAAATAGTTCACTTAGATTGCTCCACATTATTGATATACTGTTGTGCTTAGTAGTTAAACAGTTCGCTCAGTTAAGTTTGGTTAACTATGTAAGTCACTTTTTATTAATTTTATACAGACAATGTACATGGACAATTAGATCAGCATACTACTGTTGGTTTTGACAAATTAAAATGGTCATATGAAGTTATTTGAATTGTTTGAAAATATATCAGTAAGTGCATGAATGACGCTTATAGCCTCTAACTGGACTTCCAACCTTCAATGCAGTGTGATTTTACCTTGAAGTTCAACATGGTGCGACGTTAAACGAAAGTAACTAAATGATCGGCTTTTTAGATATTCAACAATTTAATAAAACAATTAGTATAGGATTGAGTTTAGATTGATATCATGAATGGGTCAATGTTAGACCACCGTTGAAAATCTGGAAGCACTGAACTGCCGTGTCATCCTAGCATGGAACTCCTCAGCAGTGTTCATACACGATTCCGCATGCGGGACTCGAACTCAAGACCTGCAGTCTCGCGCGCGAACGCTTGACCTCGAGACCGCTGAGCCAGTATGCAACAGTGATCCGTTCATGAAACCAGTTATTTTACATCTTGTTCTCCACACTTTGAAAAGTTCTCTGCATAGTCAACTTTACAATTTTTTCGTGCAAACTGATCAATAACGGAAATATACCTCTCCACTCATGCCTATATTGCTATTTTCCCTCGTTATCGACTAGTTGTTCATTTTCAACTTGCTGTGATATAGTAAACTATGTCAATAGAATAAACTGTGATCAAGCTTTTTAAATTTACATAAAACTGGTATTAAGAAGTGTGGAACTTGAACCACTGTATATTATATTGTGCTAGTCCTATATCACATCAAAACTAAGTTCACGACAGAGTCATCTTCAAATATGTCTCTGAAAACTTCTTCAATCACGCTCATCAGTGATAGGTTGACAAGCGTTTTCGGCTGGTATTTAAAGGTTACATGACATATCAGTTAAGAAAGATATTCGTGTAGGCAACAATCGCGTAAAATTTTTAAGCTGGAAAATATTTCTGTCCCCTACTGTACAAATGATTTGATATATTGAAAACGACTGATGTAATAAGCATTAGTCCTATAACAGTTAGTGAAATCCATATAAATGAAAATTTTCTTCCTATGATTATTATTATTCGTGAGCTGTAAAGTGCTGCTTAAAGTGTTCTCATTAAGTTGTTTCTGAAAGGCATAGTTGACTGGAAATCATGAATTAACATGAGAAAACAAGTTTGTCGATTTCGAAATAAATTTAATACGCAGTTATTGAACAATAATCAATAATGCTGCTTTATTCTTATGCACTGAACAGTGTAAAGGTAAAGATGATTTCGTTATAAATTATTGAATTCCTGTCTTTCTACATAAAATACAGTGCGCAAAGAAGTATATTACATTTAAACGATTACAAACGTGTTTCATAATTCTTATAGTATAATTTCACATCCTGTTTGTATCTATTTCCGATAAACAGACCAGTTTCATATGACAAATTCAAGTAAAGATAAGCTTTTCTGATTGATAATCTAATAATATGAAAGTCCTTCCACTAATTTGACTGTGTATAAATTAATATATTATTTATGATTTTTGTGTGCTAACTGTTTTCATACAAGAGTGATGTAACAAATTCCTTTTTTTGTTTTTTTTTTGTCTACAATTATCATTTCATATTCATTTGAACTTTTAGCTAATTGACCATTTTCACTTTTTCGTACATGGAAATGCTTTGGCAAGTATGTATGTGACCAGATTATACGAAATGAATAACGTAAATGCAGTACATTTTTCAGATCAAATCTGTTTTCATATTGGTCTATCAAAATTTAGAAAAGTTACTTATTACTTTATAAAGATATATTTGACTCAACTCAACAAACATATTCACAATTTATTTCTCTGAATTCTTTGAATTTATCGAATAGTACATGACTTTGAATTTCTACATACTTTGAAGAATATCGAGATTTTAATGTGGGCTTCTTGTGTTAGTTAGAACACCTTAATAAATGCACTCTTCTTATTCAACTGTTCTCCTTTCTTTATAGTGATAGTGCGAAACACCTTTTTACTGTATTGAAATATCGACAGTCAGTCAGTGGCTCAAGGATGATTGTTAAAAATTTTTCAGTCTTATTGACCTTCCATAGGTAAAACACGAAGATTGTAGTATTATATATTAGACAAATGTGATGTAAACTTCAAATTAGTTAATCATAGTGGCAATAACAGTTATTTACCGAAAAATCTTTTATACTTTTAAATAACATTGTATAGAATGGAGATATTGCTTGTTAATATAGCAGTCCTTTTTATTCCCCCTTGATATGCAAATTTTACATGTCTATGAAAATCTATAACAAAGTTGTAATAATAATATTTATTTAACATAAACATAACAATAATTAAGTTAAAAAAATACTGATGTTACATAATAGAATGTATTTCAACAGTGAGTTGTAAAGATTTTGATTATAAATGAAATTATTTGGTAGTTAATTTATACGAATATTCGTCAAGATTAAAACGAATGGTTTGACAGAAACTGGGCGCCAAGTATAGAGAAGTCATTATATGTGAAAATTATATTTGAAATAATCTCAATGATTGAAATTTAAATAATTCCAGTGTTTCGTCCAGCCAACTTGTCTGGACTTCTTCAGGGTAATAATCAAAATCGAAATCATCAAAGAAATATATAGCTTTTAAGAATGAAAACTATAATGTGTTAAACCAATCATATTTAGATGGTGATTTTTGTAAAATAGGATAACACGAGTCAGTTAAATCCGAAACATGTGAAAAATTTAACTACATGGAAATAATTAACTGAATAACAAATTCTGTGTGTGATTGGTTTAACACAGTATAGTTTTGATTGTTAAAAGATTATATCTTTCTTTGATGATTTTGATTAATACCCTGAAGAAGTCCAGACAAGTTAGCTGGACGAAACGTTGGATTTAATTAAATTTCAATCGTTGAGATCATTTCAAATATAATTTTCACATATATTTGATAGTTAATTACAATATTTCATTTGGAAAACAGTTCTGATGAAACAATTTACAGAAATGAAAAAAAATTGAAAAAAAAGAAAAAGAGAGAAAAATGAAAAGAGAAGAAAAAATTATATATGGTCATGCATGTTGATGCGTTAGCAACAAATTTCTGTCGGAAGCAAAACAATAAGTTTTGTGAATAAGTAACATGTTTCAATATTATTAAACGTTCCCTGGAAATTTAAAATGATCCATTACATTACAAATAAAAAAACAAAAGTATTTACTCATATTCATGATTTCTTTTTAACATTTTATGTACAGTATAGATCAGTGTTCTGATCTTTGATTGTGATTATTCTACTCAAAGTAGAATTGCATATTAAAATGCTTCATTCGCTTGATTGATTATAGACACATAAATTAACTAACTAAAGATGTAAAATTTACATTTATTTTAATTATGTTCCTTTCGTTAATTTTTCTCCTTTTCTGGATTACATAAGCAAAAGATATAGGTTATTAACTAATTAGAATAGCATGATTTTGATATGGTGGAGAAGATTTGTAGCTCAGGTGGATGATTTTGGTGGTCGACCAAACCATCCAGCTCAGAGAACGAAACTCCACCAGAATAGCATGATATATATTATTTATTCTGTTCGTTTTCTTACTTTCTATTCTTCATTATATAGTACTATATTGCTTAAAATGTATTTATGCATTACCTATTTCAAAAAAGATTCATTTAAACTTACAGCAACAAGTTAGTTCAAATCCATCTAAACTATTATCAATTATGGTGTTTGACTGTTGAAATTTGTAGTAACCAAAACAACGCGGAGTTTCCAATTCCTGAAATAAGAAATAAGATTAAAAATATTCGATTCAGTAAAATAAGAATTAATAAAACAAATAATTCGCTGATATTAGTCAAATGTTCATTTGTCTTTTAAAAAATGATTATGAAATTGGTACACCCACTAAAAGACGTTACTGTTAATCAATTGAATTAATTATGGTTTGAAATTATCAGTGATTAATTTGTTGAACTGCTGTCAGAATTAGTCTTTACAGTCTTTTGAAAGGGAATATATACGTGAAAATTGTTTTGCACAAGTTACATGAAATACAGTTTAATACAGTTTATCGGCCTTCTATAATAGTTCATAAAACATACACTTAGTAGAAGACAAATAGAATGAAGTCACATTTATTTTCAATTAGTTTTTCATTTCATCATAATCATGAGTCAACTCAACATAAAATATCATTGAAGATCTAGAAGCATCTGACGGCCGTTTCGTCTTTGTGTGGGATTCCTTAGCAGTGCGCATCACGAATTTGCAAACGGAAATCGAGGCCAAAGCCTTCGGTCTTAGCATTCAAACAACTGGGCTGAGATTCAACAGTGAACTGTCCAACGTCATTCAATCCACGATATGGTATGACTATCTTTCACTGTCTTCGTTAAACAACTTCCTCATACCTAATACGATTTAGCTCCACCACACATGGATTCTCGCTAGAAACCAAGAATGTTTCTCTTGAAGTTAGTCACCAGTGACCACATGATAACTGTCAGTATAGGGTTATGGATGTTGTTGAATTTTATTAAAATAATGGACAGATCATTTTATATTGATAATCATGTTTTACAATAGTCATAAGATCAATTAGTGATGTGTTGGTTAACAATATTACAAATCCAAGTGTTTATGATAATAGTAGTAAATAATCTAGAGCAATTAAAAGGCGTAAGTGAATGGAGTAATTACAATCCATAGATGCATTTATTAATAATTCATTTGTGACATCTTATAGAACTTGCAAATTACGCAATATATAATACAGAAAATAATAAAATGTTTAATGAAACGTCACGACCAAACCATCCAGCTCAGAGAACAAAACTCCATCCAAAACGTCAAGTACTAACAACTATTAAGTAAGAATAAGTAAAAGAATATAACAGTTATGTGAAAACAAAATGAGAAAGTTAGTTTTGAAAGCTTAAACAAAAGAAGTGAAGTTAATGAATCATTTTACATTCACCCAAATATTAGCTTTATTGATCAACAAGATACGGAAAGTGGCTGCATTAATAATTTATTAACATAGTTCTAAGTTTGCTAAGCTGGGTTTTCATAGCCTCAGCTGTACGTGTTTACGTAAATGACGCTGTAAATTAGTAAAAAAACGGTGGCTAACTTCATAGGCATTCTTCATATCCTCTAACTAGCAAATTTGATGCTTTTAACCATCCGTTATATGGTCAGGGATGATGATGTTCGAAAGTTAGGCGAAAAACCTGCTTAATCGTGTTATCAATCTATCTAGCTCAATTAGAATATTTCTGAAAAAAAATGTATAAATATAAGGCTGATTCACACAGCTTAGTATAAAGTCTGGTTGTGTGGCCTTGATGGCTTAAGAGAAGCAATCGTTTATTGTACAGTCTTTCATGCTAGTTGAATTTCTAAGTGTCAGCTAATACAATACTACTTCATTATCATTGGTTTTAATGATATAGATGTAAAACTATCATGAATAATTAGTGGGAAAGAAACAATTCCTTTTATTCACTTTATTGTAAAATATAACTGTAGAATAAATTGACATCAGTGTTAATAAATCACAATCAATGCATAAATATTTAGATGTTTAGCTAGAATGTAAGTGATTAAATTGAAACTACTGAAATTATTACATGTGCATAATATGCCCAAATACATCTTTCCTGCTAGATAGGAATATTGTGATTGAATGTAGTGTTCAGTAAAGGTATATTTTGTAAATTTCATGATGGTGATCATCAAACTGAAAGAACTTTATAACATTCGAAACGAACAATTGAAGAATGAGAAATGTAGATCCCCAAAGTTAATTCAAATTCTCCATTTTTAAAGAATTAATATTAAATTTTGTCCTAATGAAACAAAAATATTGATTTGGTTATTTTTTATAACTACGAAAAAACTGTTATTTGGTACGTATTATGACTACCTTAAGACCGATACCGCTCGATGCAAGGAAGAACACAAGACTATGGATGAAGATTTTATCATTCACCAACAAACATAGTTCGACAACTTTGTCAAAAATTCACTTATTCATATATCATTTACTATCTAGTCAACGGTCATATTTTGAATACATTGAATTGAATTGTACTTGTTATTGACTAATCCATTAATTAATATATGTACACAGTTTACAATATAGATTGATTAGGCTGCTTCAGCTTACAAATGTAACTAAATTGAAATTGTAATGTATTCTCTACTTCCTAAGAAATCTCAAATTAATATATTTAAATATTTAGTTAATGATCTGGTCATGATGTTTGACACACGAAGTTAGATATTAACACCGTTGGATGCTGGCTCAGTGGTCTAGAGGTTAAGCGCTCGTGCACGAAATTCAGAGGTCCTGGGTTCGAATCTCGCGAGGCGGGATCGTAGATGCGCACTGCTGAGGAGTCCCATACTAGGACGAGAAGTCTGTCCAGTGCTTCCAGGTTTTCCATAGTGGCCTAGCTTCAACTGACTCATGATTCCAACTATTTAAATTACTATAATATCCACAAAACCCATTCTGATATTAAAATACTATAGAGCTATCCATTTTATTTAACATGTTAGCTTTCACAATATCCCAAAAGCTTAAAAATAAATATTATTGAAATAGAAATAAAATGAAAAACTCACGTCAATGTAAACAATTACAATAAATAAAGATTAAGAACTAAACTTACCGTTTTCAAAATAATTAAAGTACAATATGAAGTTTTTAAACAAGTTGATTTACATCGTTCATGATTATTATTTTTTAATTCTAAACTAAATAAAGATATTCTGTTCCCAGACTTAGTTGTACTCATAGGTATCCATACTCCTAAATCATCTGAACATTTTAAGAGTGATAATTTTTCTTTTGGTAAAGAAATACATTGACAGTTTAACAATTCATTAAATAAATTGTAATTACAAAAATCTGAACACAGTACATGTTCAGTCAATATAAACCAATGACCATGAAAATTGAAAGGACTCAGTATATATATAACAGATTGTTTTGAAATATTTCACATTTGTTTGCCAATAGGAGTATATATCTGTGACTTTAAAATACCTTAAACCTAATTTTAATTGGTTCATCAATGACATTATTTATTGTATACTTCTATCTTACTTTTTAGTTTATTTCCTGAAAAATTATTTCTATTGTTAGATGAAGTAATTAAATAGTTTCTATGGATGACACATAAATCATCTATAATATGGAAACTACAGTATTTTCATGAACTCATTTCATGATGCTTTCCTTGTTTCATCACTCAACTTAGCTATCATATCTTAAAATGAATTTTAAGGAATTATGTATGAAAATATATTTACGTTTACTCTACATCAATCTTACATGGAGCTTTCATCGTTCTTTTGAGTGGTCGTTCACAGTCAAACCACTTTCACTAAGTTATATGTTTGTTGTTGACAATTAATTTGTTGCATTTTTTGGGAGTATGAATATACTTTTATCATATTCAAAATTTGTCATATACTTATCACTAATAAAACCTGACAAAGTCACAGCTGATAATTAGTCACGAAGAAATCCTAATTTTTAAAACATGAATACATTTTTTATTTATCTATGGTATTGGTTGTTTGTCATCTAGTTATGTACAATGTGAAAGTACATAAAGGAAATCCATGTTTGTTCAATAAGTAAACATAGATGATACGAAGCCTTGAACCTAAATTTCATGCTACGTGCTAATAATTAGGAAGATATAGATCAGTATCTAGAGTTAAATAACATAATAATCATGTTTGTCTGTTAAACTATAAACTTTACAGATACACCGAATGCTTTATATCTTTTTACAGTATACTATTTTCAATCCTATGAATGAAGTTACTTGTTGCTTTTTGGACCTTTCAAAGGTCACCTTTAACGCAGAAAGTATTACCTCTAAATGCTCTATTCGTTATATGTATTACCTTTTAACGGAGGAGATTCATTATAGGACTGGTATTCGTTGAGTGAATGATACTAACAATGCTGTAACCAACACTATATTCCGACTCACATATAAACCGAAGATCAGTATGATAAGCACTGAATATTTTATACATTTCGACGCGCTATTAAGTAAAATAGTGCCAAAATGTAACTAAAATTAGAACAGTTTCTTGATTTATATGAGTCTTGATAACCAGTGTAGTACGAAAAACAACATTGTGATATTTCAAGTATTCACACTCTTAACACTTCAATTCCATGATTCAGAAATAATTGTACTCAAATTTATAGTTTGTTTTTGAGTTTCATACACTATTCACGCAAGACGTGTCGTTTACGGTGTATCTAATAAAAGGTTTTCACAGTAGTAAAATCAGATATTTCTTTATCGATGTACTTTGTTCAGTGAACTGAACTACTTTATAAAATAGCCAGCATAGTGAATTGTAACCCGCAAAATGTGTATGACAATGTTCTTCACTCATAAATCATACTAAGAATTAAATGTATGTAGCTAATAAAAATTGATATCCAACATCTTCGACAAAAGTTGAATAGAAATAAAAATATTGATAGGCCGAATTCGCTCGATGAACAAATCGATTTTTTTCTTGGCATGCTATTTATTAGATTAGTACTCCATTCCTTGCACTCCACATTCTTCACGAGATAAATTTCACTGTTTTTGCTAACATTATTTTCAGATACATTTCTCACTTACTCATATTTTAGGCAAATGGAATAAAGCCCAAGCCATTGTAAAAGTTTAAAAATATATTTATTTATCGGTTTCCGTACATAAATTTCGCTTTTTAAGGGGTAATCGAATTTCGTTATATGTATGTATACCTATTTTAGACGAAGAAAAAGGCATGTAATGAATATATGGTAAGTCCCATGAAAATACTACATTCTTTGGTCGTATGAAAGTTGCGAAACGTAGTCTGTTTTGAAAACTCATTGAATATTCCGATTGCGACATTAAAAAACATTTTGCTTGCTTCATTCATATATCTGTCATCAAAAGTTTTTATTCAATATTAACACATTATCAACTCCGCCTGTAGCTCTTATAGGGTTACTGCCGGTCCCAAGCCCGGGTAAAGGAGGAGGGTTGGGCATGAGGTTAGCGTCCCCATCCCGTAGAAAACTAACTCGCTAAAAAAACGCTTACCAGAAAAAATAATCCAAACCATTTAAACTCTGCCCTGGGAGTTAGAAGGTCTTCATTTAGAAGAATTATGGCGCTTCATGGTGAAAGACGAGCTCCTTCGGAAGCCACGAGGCCGATGCCCCTTCTAACAACCAGAGCAAAAATTTTTATAGGTACATGTAACGTTCGAACAATGTGGGAAACCGGGAAGACCAGTCAAATAGCAATGGAAATGAGGAGATACAACTTAGCAGTACTGGGAATCAGCGAAACCCACTGGACCCAAGCTGGACAGAAAAGGCTAGCTACGGGAGAGATGCTGCTATACTCCGGTCACGAAGAGGACAATGCTCCACACACTCAGGGAGTCGTTCTAATGCTGTCCAAAGTAGCACGAAATGCACTTGTAGGATAGGAATCTCACGGATCCAGAATCATCAAAGCATCATTTAAAACAAAGAAGGAGGGGATCTTAATGAATATTATCCAGTGTTATGCACCCACCAATGATAGCAACGACGACATTAAAGACCAGTTCTATGAAAGGCTGCAGTCAATCATAGAGAAGTGCCAACAAAGAAAAAAAAAAAAAAAAAAAAAAAAAAAAAAAAAAAAAAAAAAAAAGGCAACACCGGATATGAAGATATCATGGGACGACATGGACTGGGAGAGAGAAACGAAAATGGGGGAAGATTTGCAAATCTGTGTGCATTCAACAAATTGGTCATAGGAGGCACAATATTTCCACACAAGCGTATACACAAGGCTACATGGATCTCACCGGACCACACTACAGAGAACCAAATAGATCATATTTGCATCAACAAAAAATTCCGAAGGACAATGGAAGATGTGAGAACCAGGAGAGGTGCTGACGTAGCTTCAGATCACCACCTAGTTGTAGCCAATTTAAAACTGAAGCTAAAAAAGAACTGGACAAGTGGACAAACAGCACTACAAAGGTTCAATACAGCCTTCCTTCGAGATACTGACAAACTCAATGAATTCAAGATAGCTCTCAACAACAGGTTCCAAGCCTTACAAGATCTACTGAAGAAGAAGAAACTAGTATGGAGGACAACTGGAAAGGCATCAAGGAAGCATTAACTTCAACGTGTCAAGAGGTTCTGGGCCTAAAGAAACACCATCATAAGGAATGGATCTCTATAGAAACACTGGACAAGATCAAAGAAAGGAAGAACAAGAAGGCAGCAATTAACAACAGCCGAACACGAGCAGAGAAAGTTCAAGCACAAGCTGAATACATAGAAGCAAACAAACAAGTGAAGAGGAGCATTAGAGCCGACAAGAAGAAATACGTGGAAGAACTAGCAACGACGGCAGAAAAAGCTGCTAGAGAAGGAAATATGAAACAGCTTTACGATACAACGAAGAAACTAGCAGGGAAATACAGTAAACCAGAGAGGCCGGTCAAAGACAAAGAAGGCAAGCCAATCACCGAAATTCAACAACAGCGTAACAGATGGGTAGAATACTTCGAGGAACTCCTGAATAGGCCGGCTCCAATGAATCCACCGGACATCGAAGCAGCACACATAGATCTTCCTATAGATGTCAACCCACCAACGACGGAAGAAATTAGAATGGCCGTCAGACAAATCAAGAACGGGAAAGCAGCAGGACCCGACAACATACCAGCTGAAGCACTGAAATCAGACATCGAAGCAACCACAAGCATGCTTTACCTTCTATTCAAAAAGATTTGGGAGGAGGAACAAGTGCCGATGGACTGGAAAGAAGGACACCTCGTCAAGATTCCAAAGAAAGGAGATCTGAGCAAATGTGAAAACTACAGAGGCATTACACTACTGTCAATACCAGGGAAAGTCTTCAACAGAGTGTTGCTGAACCGGATGAAGGATGCAGTAGACGCCCAACTTCGAGATCAACAAGCTGGATTCCGTAAGGATCGGTCGTGCACAGACCAAATTGCAACACTACGGATCATCGTCGAACAATCAGTTGAGTGGAACTCATCACTATACATCAACTTCATTGATTATGAAAAGGCATTCGACAGTGTAGATAGGAGGACATTATGGAAACTTCTTCGACACTACGGAGTTCCTGAGAAGATTGTCAACATTATCCGGAACTCATACGACGGACTACAGTGCAAAGTAGTGCATGGAGGACAGCTGACAGATGCATTCCAAGTAAGGACTGGAGTCAGACAAGGCTGTTTACTCTCTCCCTTCCTCTTTCTTCTGGTGGTCGACTGGATTATGAAGACCTCGAAATCTGAAGGAAAACACGGAATACAATGGACAGCTCAGAATCAATTAGACGATTTGGACTTCGCAGACGACCTAGCCCTCCTATCACGTACACACGAACAGATGCAGATGAAGACAGCCAGTGTAGCAGCAGTCTCTGCATCAGTAGGCCTCAGCATACACAAAGGGAAAACCAAGGTCCTCAAATTCAAAGCGGAGAACAGCAATCCAATCACTCTTGATGGCGAAACTCTGGAAGATGTAGAGTCCTTCACATACCTAGGAAGCATCATCGATGAACAAGGAGGTTCAGATGCAGACGTAAAGGCGAGGATCGGCAAAGCAAGGGTCGCATTCCTACAATTGAAGAACATATGGAACTCAAAACAACTTTCAACCAATATCAAAGTGAGAATCTTCAATACGAACGTCAAGGCAGTTCTACTGTATGGAGCTGAAACTTGG